GAAGGAGAGGAAAATCCAACCTGTAGAATTCTGGACTGTGTTTGGCTGAGGGAAGAGGGAAAAGAACACTGCAGAAGGGAAGCTGGAGAGGTCTGAGGATGACTCTGGCCACAACACCCAGCCTTGGCCCAGAGAAATATCCACAAGGAACCACAGGTGCCAGCAAAGCCCCCTAGGCCTGAAAGATCGACTCTCACCTAGGCCCAGGGGCACATGTTCCCCCAAAGATCCCATCTCTATCTAGCAAAGGATAAAGAATGAGCTCCCAGTTGCTCATGAATCATCCTGCTGCAGGAAGCCAGCTTAGAAGCTCACAGGATAACTGCCATTTCATGAAGTTCAGAGACCACTTTCCCTTCACCACACAGAGCCATTTAGAGAAAAGTCCTTGGTCAGACCACCAAGTTTTGAAGGCCCCACCCCCCACACAGAGTGGTAGCACTGGAGAAGTATGGGGTCAAGAACCCCGAAGTAACCCTACAGAACATCCCTTCTTACAGAAAAGATTAAGGGATTGTTTTGTATTCCTTGACTCTGGGCCATTTATATCTGAGATGTAATCAGTATTTAAATGTGAATCCTGAGTATTGAAAACAACCACAAAATAAATAAATGAATAAATTAAAGTCTCTGAGCTATAATTTGGGCCATTTTGACCAGTAATTTGGATCAACCCCATCCTCTCTTTTCACAACAACAGGTTATATAAGCAAGGTAATAGCCAGTGACCACTCACTTTTTATGAATATATAAATGAACTAGAGGATGTCTCTAGAGATTACAGGTTTAATGGAAAGCTACTTTCAGAAATAAGGTCCTGAAATAGAAACTTACAATCTGGGCAGAAATCAAATGGCTCCAGGATGCTTGTACCAAGGTGTCCTTGCCAAGAGGTCTGCTATGGCAAATGCACCCTCCATAAAAAAGGCTAAGAACTAGGGCCCAGCCCATAGTTAACCTCAGCAAGGTTTGCTGCCTAGAGCAACCTGATCCAATAGAACCTTCTGCAATGATGGGCGTGGTCTATATGTGTGCTGTCCAATATGGTAGCTATTAGCCACATGAGGCTTTTAAACACTTCAAATGAGGCCACTGTAACTGAGAACCTGATTTCTTAATTTTATTTAATTTTATTTAATTTTATTTTAATTAATTTAATAATTTAAGTTTAAATTAATTTAAATTTAAATAACCACCTGTGACTGGTGGCTACCAGTGTAAGTCTAGAAGTTAAGCCAGCCTAAAGAAAGCAATTCTGAAGTCACATTTGAATTCAGCAGGGAATCTGAGAGATTAACATTTGATAACTTATATTAACTCAGTAAAAAAGAACAATTGCCCCTAATAAGTTCTCTCAAGTCTTCACAATGGCCTTGCAGGCCCTCCATGACCTGACCATCCACCCCACCCCCACTTCACCCATTACCTGTAGGATCTCAGCTCCTACCACTCTACCCCTTTCTTACTTAGCTCCAGCTCTAGTGGCTCCCTTGCAGCATTCCTGTCTCCGGGCCTTTGCACTTGCTGTTCTCACTATCTACACAGCTCTTCTCTTAGCCATATGCAGGGCTTGCTTCCTCCTCTGCTTCAAGTTAATGTTCAAATGTTATGTTTTCAGTGAAGCCTTTTCTGACCACTTTAGAATTGCCATGCCCACTACCACCCATACACCTTATCTCTTTCCCCAACTTTGTTTCTTTAGTGTTTATCTCCTTCTAATATACTTCTAAAATTCACTTTCTTGCCCTGACCGGTTTGGCTCAGCAGTTAGAGGAGCATCAGCCTGCTGTCCCGAGAGACCGGGGTTCGGTTCCCGCTAAGGGCATGTACTTGGTTCCAGTTTGTCCCCGGCCCTGGTCGGTCGTGCGGGTGGCAGCCACTCGATGTGTCCCTTTCACATCGATGTTTTTCTTCCTCTCTCTCCCTCCCACTCTACCTGAACAAAAAATGTCCTCGGGTGAGGATAAAAAACAAAAAATTCACTTTCTTATTTTGTCTATCTCCCCAATTAGAATGTGAGCTCCATGAAGGCAAGGATTTTGTTTGTTTGTTACTTCTGTAGTCAATGGTGTGCATATAAATGTTTAACAACCAGTCTCTAGTGGTGCCGGGGAGTGGAATGCCCTGATTTGTAGCACTTGCCAACTTCTGTGTTCTAAATGCTCCTACTATAACCAATTTCAAGCTACCAACAAGCTACCAAACATGGAGCTGGGAAGAAATATGCACAATGAGCTTGCAATTCAAGTCAGCTCTGGTACACCACTAGCTATATTCCAGCTCCTACGACACTTCAGATTTCTTAACATCCCCCCGCTCTGCTCTTGATAGTATTCACTTTGTGCTCTTAAACCTTAACCAGACTGAAACCTAGCAAATCTCCTTCCCTGGCGATTCTGATTAAGAGGAACTGGGATGAGGACTGGGAATTTGTATTTTTAACTGATACCCTAAGTGCTTCTTACCATCAACATAGCCCAGTCCATATTCACCTTCCAACTGGGGTTAGTCTCTCCAAACCTGAACAGCAGCCTTGGGCCAGAGAAGATGGAGAAACCAGCCTATCATCCGAACAAAGCTAGAGAGACTCGGGTGGGAAAGCTCCTGACCACCCTTCAACACTCGTCCTTGGCTGCTCTTCCCAGAGGCCATGGAAACGTGAGAGAACGGCAGGCATGTTCCAATCTGGCTTCACAATGGTCCCAGCTCTCTAATCCAACCAGTATAAAATGCCACTGAAAAGCAGAATATGTAGAAAGCTGTGTTTCAAGAATGTTTAAAAAGAAATGTAATTTCCTTTTGAAAATACTCACATTTAATGTCTGTATTCTTTAAAACTGAGGAGGAATAATATAATAACCAGATCATGTCCTGTTTCTATAAAAGTTTATTCAATCTTAAATGGATTAATCTATCACTCACTGACTAATACTTATTAGATTGTAAAAAACAAATGTACTCAACCAAACCTGTGCCCACACGGCCCTAAGCACTGGGGATGATATACCCAGTAAGGCCCAGTCTCTGCCCACAGTTCCGGGGACACATTCCAGCAAGCAGGCAATGCAGAAGGATAACCAGTATTAGTAGTTTAAGGAGAGGGGGTTGCTTTCTGGAGGAAGGGGCATCTAAACTGAGGTTGAAGGGAAGGTGGGTGTTATCAAGGTAAGCATTGTGGTGGGAAACATATATTGTAGGAAGAGATAACAGAAGGTTCAAAGGCCAGGAGGAGTGTAAGAGATAGATGTCTGGATTGTACAACAGAAAGTTCAGTATGGCTAGAACTTTCAGTGAAATCAGGGACATGACTTGAGAGTAGAGGAACAAGTTTGGGCCAGATCATGAGGGCCTTGTAAAATCAAGCTTATTACTGTTTAAAATATATTTGCTTCCTTTTGATATTAACCAAAAGTAGAAAACTACTCAGAATGCTCAGAAGTAAAAGATGGGTAATAAATGTAGTACATTCACAATATGGAATACTATACAGCAACAAAAATGACTGATCTACAACCATATGCAACAATTTGGATGAATTACACAAGCATAATGTTGAGAGAAAAGCAAGACACAAAAGGATAAAATTTGTATGTTTCCTATTGTTTCACGTTTAAGAAGAGACAAACTATTATGTGGTGACAGAAATCAGAAAACATTTCCAACATGTACATGAAAAGGTGTACAACATCACTAATAATTGGGGAAATGCAAATCAAAACCACAATGAGATATCACCTCATACCTATTAGAATGGCTATTATCAAAAACTGCAAAAGTTAACAAGTGGTGAGGATGTGAAAAAAGGAAACCCTTGTACATTATTGGTGGGAATATAAATTGGTACAGCCATTATGGAATATAGTATAGAGGTTTCTAAAAATAAAAGAACTACCATATGATCTAGCAATCCCACTTCTTGGTATATATCTGAAGGAAGTAAAATCAGAATCTTGAAGAGATATCTGCACTCCCATGTTCATTGAAACACTAGTCACAATTGTCAAGACGTGGAGACTATATATCCATTGACAGATAAATGAATAAAGAAAATATGGCATATATATGCAATGGGATATTATTCAACCATAAAAAGAAGACAATATTTGTGACAATAATGATGAATCTTGTGGGTTTTATGTTCAGTGAAATAAGTCAGGCAGAGAAAGATAAATACTGGATGATCTCACTTACATGTGGACTCTAAAAAAGCCAAACTCATAGAAACAGAGAGTAGATTGGTGGTTGTCAGAGGCTGGGTGTGTGTGTGTGGAGGAAATAGGGAGATGTTGATCAAAGGGTATAAATTTAGTTATAAGATGAATAAGCTCTGGCAAGCTAATATTCAGCATGATGACTATAGTTCAGAATATTGTATTTATACTTGAAATCGGATAGGAGAGTATATCTTAAATGTTCTCACCACACAAAAAAATACACCCCAAGGTAACTATGTGAGGTAATGTATGTGTTAACCAACCTTATTTTTGTAATCATTTCACAATATATATGTATATTAAGTCATCACATTGTACACCTTAAACATATATAATGTTATATGTAAATTATATTTTACTAACACTGAGGGAAATACGAGCCAATACTAGCTAGAAGGGAACACAAGAGGGACTTCCAAGGAGCTAGTAATACTCAGTGTCTTAATTGGGCGCTGGATACACAGATGTGTGGGATCGAAGTATATGCTTACAATATCTACACTTTCCTGTCTATATATTATGCTTCAAAAAAAAGTTAGACATATAGCGCTCTTTTATTTTCACAAATTGTAAAATACTTCTCTCTCATTTCCTGTGTTCACCCTTTCATTACTGAGTTTTAAACTCGTGGCCTTAAGTCTGTATCTCGTGACAGTGGGTCACCACCCTAAATACAGTTTCATTTAAACTGACGTTCTCGTCTCAGCTGATCCAAGTGGCTGGAAATGACCGGCTGCATTTGCTGCCTGGGTCATACACTAATGCCTGGACTTGGCTGGCGACAGTATGTGGCCCTATCACCACGATCTCTGGTATGTACACCTGACACAGAATGCCAGGTGTAAGTTAATGAAAAACAAGAAGGAGTGGGGGGAGTTTAATCCTGTCAAGGCTTGTTGATGAGAAATTATAATTATGTACTTTGTATTTTCAGCAAAAAATTCATGGGATCAGCCAACACATGGTTATGAATGTAACATTCGTGCCAAATCAGACAGTTGATAAAATATTGACTTAAAATGTTAATTTCTTTTTGTGAATTGATCTGGGGGAAGAAAAGGCACTGGTTATCACCAGAAATACCCCTTATTTATCATGCACATAATAGGGGCTCAATATAGTTTTGTTGAATTTCACTATTCAATGTTCTGAGTCTGTTTTCCCCTAAGCAATTAATAGTTCATAGAATCACAGCAAACCAGTCAGAAAGGTCATGTAGAATACACTCTGCTGAATAATAAATGACATCTTAGAAGCCTGAAAGTATCTTGCACATGAAAAAGCATCTGATTGCACTTACTTGCTATATGGGTGATAGCTCATTAATCTTGAGGCTCCTATAAATAACGACTTTGATTTTTCCAAGTCCAGAGTAACCTTGAGAATGTCATGCTAAGCAAAATAAGTCAGACAAAAACAAGGAAAAGAGCCCAAAGTAGTCTCCACATGTCAATGTGCTCAAGCAAGAAAACCATGTCAATTAATTAAGTTATCTGGAGCCAGAGAGAGATTTTAGTAACATGTGAGTCAATCTGCTATGCCTGGGAAACTTGGCAATGGGCTAGGCTTTCTTTGCCTTTCCCAGCTACATCTAAAATCGACCATTGCTCCTCATAGTCACGCTGATTTATACAGACAATAGTATTTCTTTCTAGGCCTCAATGCCAAGAGCAATATAACTAGCTTACAATAGGTTACCTCTTTTAGAAATTTTATTATAGAATCATTCGTTCATACAAAAGGATACACAAGTGTGTGTGTGTGTGTGTGTGTGTGAATAAATCTATCTTTAAGGTTATCATATGTATGTTTCAGGTTATTTTATTCATTTTTAGTATGGAAATATGTCCTGGAAGGAAAAAATCCAAGCTATTATCAGGGATTCACTTGTTAATTTTATTTATTTTAAATTTTTTTCCTTTATTGATTTTAGAGAGAGAGGAAGGGAGAGGGAGAGAGAGATAGAAACATCAATTGGCCACCTCCTGCATGCCCCCCACTGGGGATTGGGCCCACAACCTGGGCATGTGCCCTGACCAGAAATTGAACCAGTGACCTCTTGGTGCATGGGTCGATGCTCAACCACTGAGCCACACCAACTGGACTCACCTGTTAAATTTAAACAGTTCATAAAAGTGCATAACTTAAGAAAAAATATTTCTGGGGTTTAATGATTCTATGGCCAAAAGAATGATCTTAATATTCAATTTTCAACTTAATTTCTTGCTTCTTGTTATCAGTGAGAAGACTCAGATTTTCTAGACAAATCAAAATCCAAAGAACTGATTTTGTTTGAAAAATTAAATCCAGCCCTGGCTGGTTTGGCTCAGCAGTTAGAGCATTGGCCAAGGGACTGTAAGGTTGTAGGTTCGATTCTCGGTCAAGGGCACATACCTGGGTTGAAGGTTTGATTCCCGGCCCCAGTTGGGATTGTGCAGGAGGCAACCAATTGGTGTGTCTCTCTCACATTGATGTTTCTCTCTCAATCCCTCGCTCCCTCCCTTCCTTCCACTTTATCTAAAAATCAGTGAAAAAGTATCCTCAGGTAAGGATTAACAAAAAACCAAAAAAACAGCAACAATAAAAAAGAAAAAAGAAAAATTAGATCCAGCTATTACTCCTCAAAAAGTAGATTTGTTTAAGCTTTAGAAGACACTTTAGTCAAACAAAAAAATATTCAAAATCACAACACAGTCTTTTTAATTATTGCTAAATTTTCTTAACTTAGGAGATATTTATTGAATACCTACTATGATATAAATAGAAATCCAATTGGCAGATTTCTGGTGTTTGCCAATCTGCCATCTTTCCAGAATCCTATCTGATTAGGTTAAAATTCCTGCTTCATATCTTGCTGGGAGATTTCATAGGCATAACTGGACCTTTAAATTTTCTCATCTGCAAATGGAAGTAATACTTAATTTCATAAAATTGCTTCAAATGAATTATATGAGCTAATGTATATAAAGTACTTACCACAGGTATAAATGTGAGCTTTGAAATAATAATAATAATAATAGTTTATAAGACATTATTATCATTATTTTTATTATTATTTTTATTATTTTATTTATTTATTTAGATAGAGTGGGAGGGAGAGAGAGGAAGAGAGAGAGAGAGAAAGAAACATCGACGTGAAAGGGACACATCGAGTGGCTGCCTCCCGCACGACCCAAACAGGGCCGGGGACAAAATGCAACTGAGGTACATGCCCTTAGTGAGAACCGAATCCAGGTCTCTCCGGACCACAGGCCGACACTCTAACCGCTGAGCCAAACTGGCCAGGGCAAGACATTATTATTAAGCCTTGCATGGCTTCCTATTCAAGAAGTTCCCTTGCTGAGAGCTTACAAAGATATTCCAAGAGAAAGTGACCAGAGCCTGGATCTTGGTTTATCACTTTTGATCACAAGCTATGCCACAACTCTGAGCTTCATGAAATTCTTTCTCCCAATATTTCTATCTACTGATTACATTTTTTTCTGCACACAGAGATTCAAGTTAATATTTAAATTCCCCTCTCATGTAGGAAGTGTCTATTATGTTTCATTGGTTTACAAAATTCCAACAGGGAGGCAGGTCTGTCGAGCACAGTAATAAGTGTATATGTTGAACAGGTAAAGAGAAGATCTACTGACGAAACCGTAACTGACAGCTCACCTCTGCTGCTAGTCACCTCGAGTGAACCAGAAAGCATTCAAGTCACATGTCCTGCTCAAGGAGAAATGCCTCATAAACAGGTATCAGGGGATGGAAGCATTTAACCAAAGTCAGGTAGTCTCTACAGAAAAACAAAACTAGGAAATTCTAAGCAGCTTCTTAGTCTGTGGGTGAGATCATTACTGAGACTGAAATGCTGACATTGATTATCCCCATGAAACAAGCACAGCTGCGCTCTCTCTAGGGAGCATGAGGCACATTTCCCTCCCCCCTCTTCTTCCCCTGTGGCGCCTTCCTTTTGCCTTCCCCTCTCCTGAGCACCAAGGGCCCTTCTTTTGCTTCTGTAACTTGTTTCCTGAGACTACGCGGTCCAGCTGGCTTACTTCCACTACCTCTGTAACTTTCTAAATAAACTTTCTCATAAAATTTAAATTTTAAAAAGTGATAAGTGCAAAAATACTCACAACAGATTAAAGACTTAAGCATAAGACGTGAAACTAGAAAACTTTTAGAGAAAAACGGGAAAAGCTTTATGACATCAACCTGGATAATGATTTCACGGATAGGACACCAAAAGCACAGGCAACAAAACAAACAAGTGGGACTACATGAAACTAAAAACTTCTGCACGGCAAAGGAAACAGTTACCAAGGTGAAAAGCAATCTATGGAATGGAAGAGAATATTTGCAAGCCTATATCTACTAACGGGTTGATTTACAAAATATATACGGAACTTCTACAAAACAATAGTAAAATAATAATAATAATAACCCAATTTTAAAATGAGCAAAGGACTTAAACAAGTCCAAAGAAGACATACAAATGGTTATTAGGTATATGAAAAGATACTCAACATCATTAATCATCAAAGAAATGCAAATCAAAACCACAATGAGTTATTATCTCACATATGTTAGGATGGCCATTATAAAAAAAACTCAAATGATAATAAGTGTTGGCAAGGTTGTAGAGAAATTGGAACACTTCCGCACTGCTGGTGGGAATGTAAAATGATGCAGCCCCTATGGAGACAGGGTGGAGTGTCCTCAAGAAATTAAAAATAGAACTACCATATGATCTGGATATCCCACTTCAGGATATATATCCAAAATAATTGAAATCAAGATCTCAAAGAGATATCTACACTCCCATGTTGTTTATTGCTAGCACTGTTTGCAATAGCAAAGACACAGTTGTCTATGAGTGAATCAATAAAAGAAAATGGTATTTATTTAATGGACTATTGTTTTTTGTTTGTTTGTTTTTTTATCCTCACCCGAGGACATTTTTCCATTTTTTGTTCAGGTAGAGTGGGGGGGAGGAACAGAGAGAGAGAGAGAAACATCGATGTGAAAGGGACACATCGAGTGGCTGCCACCTGCACGACCGACCAGGGCCAGGGACAAACTGCAACCGAGGTACGCGCCCTTAGCGGGAACCGAACCCGGGTCTCTCAGGACCGCAGGCCGACGCTCTAACCGCTGAGCCAAACCGGCCAGGGCTTAATGGGCTATTGTTTAGCCTTAAAAAGGAAAGAAATCTTGCCATTTGCAAAAGCATGGATGAACCTGGAGGACATTATGTTAACTGAAATAAGTAAGACTCAGAAAGACAAATACTGCCTAATCTATGTGATTCCAAATAGTCAAACTTATAGAAACAGAGAATATCGTGGTGGTTGCCAGGGGCTGAAGGGACAGGGGAAATGGGGTTAGGTTGGTCAAAAGGTACAAAATTTCTGTTACGCAAAAATGAGTAAATTCTTAAGATTTCACGTATAGCCCTTGCCAGTTTGGCTCAGCAGTTAGAGAGCCAGCCCACAGACCAGAGAGTCGGGGTTTGGTTCCTGCTAAGGACACCTACCTTGGTTGCAGTTTGTCCCTGGCCCCTGGTTGGGGTTGTGTGGGTGGCAACCACTTGATGTGTCTCTCTCACACATAGATGTTTCTCTCTCTCTCTCTCTCTCTCTCTCTCTCTCTCTCTCTCTCTCTCTCTCTCTCTCCCCCTCCTGCTCCAGCTGAAGATAAATGCAAAAATGTCCTCAGGTGAGGATAAAAAAAATTTTTTTTTAAAGATTTCATATATAAGCATGGTGCCTATAGTTAATAATACTGTATTGTACACTTGAAATGTGCTGAGAGGATAGATCTTAAATTAAGTCTCACCACACACACAAAGAAAATGGGAACCACGTGGAGATGATGGATATATTTATTAGCTTGATTGTGGTGATCATTTCACAGTGTGTATGTGTCAAAGCATTAATTTGTACTTTACACTTATACAATGCTTATGTGTCAATTGCACCTCAATAGAGCTGTTTGTGTGTGTGTGTGTGTGTGTGTGTGTGTGTGTGTGTGTGTTTATTTCTCACCTGAAGATATTTTTCTATTTATCTTCAGATAGAGTGGGAGGGGGAGAGAGAAACATCGATGTGACAGAGACACGTTGACTGGCTGCCTCCCGCATGACCCCAACCAGGGCCAGGGATGAACCACAACCGAGGTATGCACCCTTCACCAGAATCCAACCCGTGACTCACTGGTCCTCGGGCCAAGGTTCTAACCACTGAGTCAAACCAGCCAGGGCTAGAGCTGTTTTTTAAAAAAGAGTATAAAGAATATTTCTAAAAGTTGTGTTCAGAGACAGATACCAACACAGGAACTCAACCCCAACAAATGCAACCACTAAATGAGAACTGGTGGGATACTTTTTTCCACTTTTAGAGAAGAAAAAAGGAATAAGATCTGGCCCATAGCCTCCTTGACTGTAAAATTTTAGAAATTCATTGCATTTATTAGCAATAGAGAGTTGATTTATCTATGCCAGTCACTCCCAGACCTGGCTGCACAGTAGAATCACCAAGGGAACTTTCAAAGTAAACTGATGTCTGGGCCTACTCCCAACCAAATAAATCAGAATTTCTTGGTGATAAGGTTTGGGCATAGAATCTTTTTTGGTATCACTTGTTGTTTTCTTTTTTCTACAGCTTTATTGCAGTATAACTGGTTATAATAAACATACGTATTTAACATGTACAATTTGATGAGGTTTGATGTAAGCATATATTTGTGAAAACATCACAACAATCAAGATAAATATTTCTATCATCTTTCCAAATTTCCTTATGCACCCTTGTATCCCATTCCTCCTTCATCCACACCCTCCCCAGGGAAACACTGATCTGCTTTTGGTAACTGTAGGTAAGATTATATTTTACAGAATTTCATATAAATAGAATCATATACTATATACTCTTTTTTTTTTTTTGGTCTGGCTTTTTTTTTTTTTCTTTATTGATGTTAGAGAGAGAGGAAGAGAGAGAGAAAGAGAAACATCAATGAGAGAGAACATCAATCGGCCAACCCCTGCACACCCACTATTGGGGATTAGGCTCACAACCTGGGCTGGTGCCCTGACTGGGAATCCAACCAGCAACCTCTTGGTGCATAGGTTGACACTCAACCACTGAGCCACACCAGCCAGGCTGGCTTTTTGTTTTTTTGACTCAGATTAATGATTTTAAGATTAATGTGCATTGTTATGGACACAAATAGTTCATTCCCCTTGACTGCTGAGAAGTATTTCTTGCATGTTTTTATCATATTTTGTTTATTAATTCACTTAGTAGATATTTGAATTGTTTATTGTTTTGAACTATTACAAATAGAACAGCTTTAGATGATAATGTATAGACAAATGCTTTCATCTCTTGGGTAAATGTCTAGGAATAATATGGCTGGATCTATAGTAAGTGTATGTATAACTTTATAAGACACTGTCAGTCTTCCAAAGGAATTGTAGTAGTTTACATTCCCACCAGCAGTGTATGAGAGTTCTGTTTCCTCCATATCATTGTCAACACTTGGTATGGTCAATCTTTTTATTTTAGCCATTCTACTAGGTATCTAATGTTTTTTATTTGTATTTATTTGATGATTAATATTGAGCATCTTTTTATGTGCTTATTTGCTCTCTAACCCTGTCTCTCTCTGTGTATATGTATATAATAATTCCCTTTGGTGAATTATTTATTCAAACATTTTCTTCATTTTAATTGGGTTTTTGATCTTCTTACTATTGAGTTACAAGCATTCATTACATATTCTGCATACAAGTCCTGTGTTGAATATGTGCTTTACAAATATTTTGTCTCATCCAGCTGGTGTGGCTCAGTGGTCGAGCATCGACCCATGCACCAAGAGGTTGTTGGTTCAATTTCTGATCAGGGCATATGCCCAGGTTGTGGGCCCATTCCCCAGTGGGGGCCATGCAGGAGGTGGCCAATTGATGTTCTTTCTCATCGATGTTTCTCTCTCTCCCTCTCCCTTCCTCTCTCTTTCTAAAAAAATCAATAAAGAAAAAATTTTTTTTAAAAAACAACAAATATTTTCTCTCAGTCTGTGGCTAGATTTTTGTTTTCTTAACAGTACCTTTCCAAGAACAGAAGTGTTTTGTTTTGGTGAAGTTCAATTTATCTATTTTAATTCTTTTATAGATTCTGGTGTGTGTGTGTGTGTGTGTGTGTGTGTGTGTGTGTTATTTAAGAAGTCCTAACCTAACAAAAGATTACTAAGATTTATCTCCTGGAAATTTTTTGGTTTTAGCCTGTCTATCTAGGTCTATGATCTATTTCAAGTTATGTGTCATGAGATAAGAATTGTGCTTCATTTTGGGGGGACTGTCATTTTTGGAGCATGGATACCCAACTGTTGAAAAGATTAGCCTTTCCTCATTGAATTGTCTTGGTTTTTGTGGAAAATCAATAGGCTGTAGATCTAATTACAGACTCTTTACACTGATTCATTGATCTATATATGTCTATATATATGACACTATCACACTCAGTTACTATAACTTTAAGAAAATCTTGAAATAAGGTATTTAAGTCCTTAATTTGTTTATTTGTTTGTTTATCCTCACCCAAGGATATTTTTTTCCATTGATTTTTACAGAGAGTGGAAGGGAAGGAGGAAGTGGGGTGGGGGAGAGAGAGACATTAATTAGTTGCCTCCCGCACACACCCCAACCAGGGCCCAGGGTGCCCGTAACCCAGGTACGTGCCCTTGCCCGGGAATC